AATCCCTACATTTTCCCCCCTACCATTCTCAAAACACCACCTACACTCGATGTATACTTTGATAGTGGGACCCAGCATTGCAGTTGAGCTATCTGGATCCAGTTCGCGGTCGGACGAACATACAGAATCGTATTCTGCCGCTCGCTCTCGATAACACGCGTCCATAGCGTGATTTGCAGGCCATTGGAGAGGAACGGGCCATTCCCATCTTTGCGTGTTCCAGGCCAAGCTGCCGTTCATCAGGATCGCGTACCATGCGACCGTCCAGATCAACCTCGCCCTGCTTGGTGTGACGGCGTAGGGGGGAACTAATGAGCAAGCGCTAGCTACTACCAATGCCCAGTACCAACGACAGTGCTTGGATGGCGATATGGCTCCAATAACCGGGGGACAAGGAGCCTAGAGAATCATCAACACTCGCGTCAAGCAGTACGCCTCCCCTTTAAAGGTAAATCTGTTGTATGTCTCTATTCCATATCTAACGCCATTTCAGCCTCATCTTGCCCTGAAATGGGAGAAGAGATGGGATGGTTCCAGTTCTAGTTCAGAATGCGGCAGGCACAGTCAAGAACGTGGACGATGATCTAGCGAGCCGGGTTCCGTGATGAGAAGACGGGCAGGGTCTGTGCTAGAAGGTGGGACGCGAGATGGGCGGTCCCCTCCAGGTCCGAGTCGTTTGCGCCGTAGTCTTAGCTCACAGCAGTTTCGGCGTCTCCCTTTCTATGCCGTCGCTTCTGGGTCGTAGATGCCTGGAATGGGTTTGACAAGAGGACGGTTCGGTTGCGCGTTTCATTCACTTCGGCGGGAACTTATGCTTGCCATGTATGGCGAGGAACTGCCCATTACTAGTATCATCCCGGCGATATTCTCTGTAACTCCTCTCCTCTGGTCTGCCGCCTCAAGCGCAGACCAAGAAAAAACTCAGCCGTTCTTCGCTACAGACTCTCTGATTGGGAATCGAACCCCGTGCAATTGGCAAGTGGATTAGCCAGTATTCTATCAGAGATGGTATTTCCGAGGGGATACTCACTTGGAAATCGTGCTGAGGATCCGGGAACTCGAAATGGCAGTTGGGTTTATACGCTCTCATTTCAGCTCACCGACCACCCACCCCATCGTCAGCCGACCCACAATCAACATGGGCAGACACCACGTTATTTGAAGCGGGACGGGTATCAAGAGGAGAGGGAAAGGCTGCCAGTCGTGGGCCCGAGGTGACGAAGGACCGGCTCTGGAGGAGAGTCACTGTCAGTGAATCCATGAATAGAGTGGGTCGTAGACCTGAACTTCACGTCACCCTCCTATCTTCGACACGTTCTTGTATCCGGTTTGCGGTTCTTTGTGTCTGGACGGACATACGGAATCCATTCGCTCCCAATAACACGCGTCCTCGTGCTACTACCGACCATGTCCGTGGCGTGATTTACAGGTCGTTGGAGACGAGCGGTGGGTTGCTCCCATCTTTGTGTTAGCTACCGTTCACTGTTGAGATCGCGCCGACTTCAATGTCCATACAGGAAATGGCACTATCTCTGTACCATTTGCTCGCTGTGACGTTCTCGTGCGTCCAGACCTGCCTCATCCTGCTGGGTGAACAGAATAACGGGACTGACTTCGCAGGTCGAAGACTCCTAGTCCTACCAATGCCCAAAGAGCGAGTTTTCCTCCCAGTCCCTGGTTCAATGCCGTAGAATAGTACACCCGGGCCTGGCGGTTATGTTGGGTGGGTCGATAGTCAAGCCTCAATACAAACTGGAATGGAGACATAGTGCATTTCGTCTTTTTTTGGTGATTCACCAACCTTCTTTGCGATCAGGTTGGGTAGTCGTGCACCCCTACATCCTCATTATGCGATGCCGCGTGGAGATTTGCGCGGAATCATAATAATAGCGTTATCGTGCGGCTCTCCGGGTGATTTACCTACCAAACAGGCGTTCTAATTCACCATTTCTCCACTTTACGGATGAACGAGAAACTTCAAAGACTCGTTTACAAGGCGAAAAAAAGATCCATTTGTGATTCTCCATTCTCTGATTGGGGATCGAACCCAGGTGCTGCACGCATTGACGGGTACTCTATCAGAGTGATGTTGGGAGGCTTCGTGATGTAGGACAGATCTCTAGCGGTGTCCTGCCCATTTGCAAGAGGAGACGAACAGATGGCAGGAAGCACCCGCTCCGGAGAACGACGAAAAAACTGGCACGCTTTTCGTCATCTTCATTGTCTCTCATCGGGAGTCGAACCCGAACGTAAAGTACTCCAAGTCGAGACACGTACGGGAAGGCAATTATAACTCACATCTCTCTTTCTCAAATAATGTGATGTCTTTTCTCATGAGGTACCACTTCTGAATGCTTTGGCGGATGCGAGACATTCGTAGCAGTAACGTTACGAGTTCTCCCTCTCTCCTTACGTGCATCGGAGATAGGTGGTCCCGAAACGACATCTAGTCGTTTGTGGCATGGATCCTTCATGACTCAAGTTCATGCTGAAGGAAGAAACTGCGGTGTGTGTGTCAAAACACAGGGTTTCGTGTGCAACCCTAATGAACGGGTCCTGATATATAACGGCTATGAGTGATCAAGACTCAAAACTCAAAAATTGAAAAGAAAGATCAAAATTATATGTAAATGAAGACAATGGCAAATCTTCAATGTCGCATACGACAGCGTAATTGGGAGTCGAACCCAGCCATTCGTTGATGACAAACACATGTATTAAACGATACACCATCGGAGACCGAAGTACCATCGATTGTTTTCAATAATATTTAATAATCCTGACTTTATTCCATTCCCACCCGGGCCCGGCTCCCCCTTGTCTTAGGCTCTGGTTCACGGGTGCGCCGGACATAGTTTTTACTCAATGTCTTTTGTCTTTGATACTTCTCCAAGGGAAAGACGAGCAGTTCTGATATTGATGGCCCTTTGGTCGCTTTCTTCCACGTTCATTCCACCTTCGGCACAGCGTGTGACACAACCAAGCAGCAAATATTTGTTCATGACACCTTTTCACCCCCGTTACGATGGCTCAAAGAGGGACTCGGCAACAATGACGTAGAGGAAATCAATCGCCGCGCCCAGCTGTGCTCCTCGATAACTGATATTTTGGATCAACCCCACACTGGACTGTTAAGCGCATATGACGTACTCTGGAATGGAGATGAGTAGCAAGATTGCGGTGCGCTTGTTGTAGCGATGTGAGCGCCAGAAATGTCTTGCGGTATACATCTTCCCATTTCGATATACGTGCATGCCGACACGGACTGTATCTTTCTATAGAACAATCACCGGCTGTTTCTACACCGGAATCTCAAGTCATGCAACCAAGAAGGAGGGGAAACTAGAGGTCAGTACGCTATTCTACGTTCTCACCTATCAGATGTGTAGTTGAGTTTCATCCTAGTACATCAATCATCTTGATTTAATTGATCGGCATAGAACCGTATCTTGGACGAAATAATTTTCAGACTGTTGAGTGTTCCTTCTCTGAAGGGATGACTCTCATCGATGCACGAGAACAATTGAAAGGCAAAGTGCGAACCAGAAGGAACGTGTCGTTGCCGCCTGTTAGTCCATTATTGTGTTGAAATCAAACTAATAGCGAATAGGTGGAGAAGAAGACGGCATTTCGTTGTGGGAAGATGCGCTCCTGCATATTGTCTTCTCTGCTAGAAATTTTCACCAGGAACACACAGATCATCCTCTTCCCGAACACCAATATAACCCTAACCAGCTCATTGGGAGATCCTTGCTTCTTCGCGGTCTCGCAACTGAGCCTGAACCTTACCGAGGCCTATCCTCGAGTCTCAACGAGTGATGATGAGAAAGATCTACAGAAGCTCATGGGTCCGCAACATCTGTTCTGTATTGCACCTTCAGGTTATGATCAACAAGTACATTTAAATCCCATATACGTGCCCTGCTACTTCAACAGCAGCCTTTTTCTTTCTTTCTTACTCTATTCCCCTCTTTCCATATGGATCTGACTCCTGTACCAATCCCGCTACTCGGTGCGACGTTCGGGGTAATTCTCATCGGAGCCATCCTTTCTGCCGTGTAAGCTCCAAGCCTGTCTGTCCGCAGCTAACTGACATCGAACCATGATGCGCAGTCTATTCGGTATATTAAATCTCCAGTCCATCTGGTATTTCAAGCAATACCCAAATGACTGGTGGCTCTATCGACTCGTTGTGCGTGTTGCATATACTTTTATTCTCCCGGTTGAGCTTGAGGTGTTATCGAACAGGTGGCAGTCATTTGGTGAGCAGTTCCGACTCATGAGTTGAACAAGACCTCTGATAACTACATACAGTGTCCTGGATACACTAGATGCCGCGGTTAGCACTCATGCGTTGTATTTCCTTCTCATCGAGACTCGGATAGTGGGCAAGTTCCTAGCTTTGGATCAACTTAATATCATTTGGTACATTTCAATATTCGCTGTATCGTTTCCCTGACTTTATCTGGCATGATAGGAGCTGCAAGGTTTGTATTGTGATTTTCTGGTTGTGGCTATGGCAGTTAACGTCTCGTTGGCCCGGGCAGTTGCATGTTCTTCTTGGAGTGCGTATTCCACCATTTTAAACTCGTAGATAAAGCTAAATTGATGCTATGCTGCTTAGACTTTGATCAAAGTAGCGGTCCAAGCGTGCGTTACTACCTAAGCTTTGTCTGCTTCATGACAACTTATCTTTGGGCAGTATATATGCTGTACGACTGTGGAAAGGTCACTTATTAGCTCTTTGCATTGGCTCTTTGCTAACACCTGCTGATGGCCAGTCCGACAACACTTTCATCTCAGTCGAGTCGTACCCTGGTTTCTTGTAAGCTCATCCTACTATTACTGGATATTCTTTTCAACCGTATTTCCCTCGTAGTCCCTCATCATGGCTTGTAATGTCGGTACGTGAACCTCGAATGCTTTCCAATTGCTGAGTCTGTGCCTCTGTGATTGACTCTTCACTCTCATAGGCACTGGAACATGTAAGTTTGTACTGTTCTTGCTGATCATTGCGCTTCACATCCCTCTTCTCATCAGATCTAGTTTACGGAGTGTAAGATTGTGTCATTATACCGCATATCATCAATAATCCAAGACACTTCCTGTTGGATAAGGGGGTAGATTATTAAGCGACAGGGAACCCTTGAAGGCAAACGCACAAGGGTGTCCCGTTCTACATACAGACTTTTATACTACTTTGTAAAGAAACTACTAGAATTTTCGTGCAGAGAAAAGAAACATAGCTGAGTAATACTTACCAATCCCGACGGTGAGTCTGGCGAGTGTGGGCGCTTGCGATGATCCGCACTAAAAATAGCACACTTCCAACAGCTACAGTATTTCCACCTTCTCCGACATTCCTACCATCAAAGTAAGCATGTCATCATAACTCCTGTTTGATCCTGTATCTCACCTGAAAGTAGAGTGAAATCATCGCGATGTTCTCGACAAACACCGGAGCTACTTTCATCCTATCCATCGCTATGTGTTATTATCTGAATAGAAGCCGGGCCAGTTCTATGTTTCCCAGGTCCGTAATTCAACAAGTTCTATCCCTGGGTCACAGCGTTGACATCATGTTAACTCAGTACTATTGCGACGTTGGTTGCGCTGATGCGGCTGATCCTGATATCCGGGTTGGTTACGAGGTGAGAGTCGACCTATGTACCTTTTCAACCGGTTTACCGTGGTATGCAGCATGTGCTCTACAGCCACTCTTATAACAGTATGCCAACCGCTATGTGCTGTCTGATCTCAAGCTCATGATTGACGCAGTTTCTCATGTGGCCAAATACGCTCATATTCATTGCGATCGATCTCATGCAGCCGAGACGTCAGTCCTTCATCGCAGAGCCACGAATTCTGACACACCTGTTTATTTACAGTATTTATCAACTCCTTGTTAGCGATGTGTGTATGAGCACCATAATTCATGACTCTAGTGACTTACTCAAGTGTCTAGGCTCAATGCACGAAAGGAGCTCCGAAAGATTCCGAGTTCCCAACTCCTGGAACCGAAAGGTGAATCTCAGCCGGGATCTACATCTGAATGTGAGCGCAGCAGCAGGGGAGCAGAGACGGTACGTGGACCACACACTCCCTCAAAGACAATTGACAAACGGACTGCTAGCCCATCGTTATATCCATGAGGATCGAGTCGGAATCGGTTTAATCGTTAAAAATAAGTCTCAGCGCCTCAGCTTTGCAATAGATAATTTGGAATCTGGCGCAAGCAAGGGCAAAGGTCTAGTGACAATAGGACGATGTATCATAGTGAGACAATTTTAAAACTTACTCCCCTCCTCACCATCCATTTGCTGCAGTCCCAAACTCGTGTCAAGCTGGTTCTTCATAAGCCCTGGATTCCGTATGGATGATTTCTCCCCACCCTCAGTATCTCACTCCAAGTATTAATAGTGGCGAGAACAGGTTCCCGGGGTACCTTCGTTGACGAGACCCACGAACCAGCGTGATGCAAACGAAACCTCGGCCTTTGATCTATACCAGTCATCTGAGACGCCGGCAACGCCAGCATCACGCCTCTCTCGACTGCACGACTAGCCGTCATAACCTTTAATAGATCAGTTGGCATGCCTGTACGGATGAAAACTGGGTTCAACTCCCAGTCAGAGCACTGTTCCGAGTCGGAAATCAGACATGTTGTTTTTGCTGAAGATATAAGGTACCCCCTTTTTCCTCCGAGTCATTTTCATCAACACACGTCCTGGCACATTGTGGATTCTACGCTCCTAGCGCCGGACCACTAACCATCTGACCGCCCGTGTGCGTCGAGAGAGACAACCAAACAGACCAAACAGAAAACAAAAATATCATACGCCTACGATTCTCCGGTAGGGAATCGAACCCTCTCGTATCTACACCACATGCCGGTGGGCGATCCAGATATATAGCACCGCATAAGAAAAGACTGCCTTCCGTCGAGTACTCTCTGAGTCAGGTTGTCTCCAAATCTATGGGTCTTAATTCGACAGCTGGATGAATCGACAGAGAACGAAAGAGAGAGACGAGCAAAGAGGGTATAAGGCCCGACTCAAGTTTCTACATTCCACTATGGTCGTGCAGGGAAAAACAGGGAAATGATGTACGTTGCCTCCTCGAGCACCTTTGTACGAACTATCACAACTCTCCTCGTGCTGATACTGGATAAAAGTCAGAATGAGCTCACCAGAAAGATGGAGGGTACTGACATAAAGACCCACACACATGGAATCATCGACCCGAAACAAACATGCTACCTTTAGAGTCCAAGCCCATTTTTATCCTCATCTCGATTTGGGCACACCATACTTGACTACCATCGGCGGTGCACGTAGTCGACGCCAGCCATCGTCTCGCATTGGCAGTAAAACGAGTCGGGCTAGCGTTCACATTAGCGCTTTGCAGAGTCAGATGTCACTAGAGGGGCTATCCTCCCGTGCAGACATCCTGCTCGGTCTGACGCTAGATGGCCATGGACAAGTCGACTATACAAGGAACGAATGCATCATCCCCCGTTCCGATCGACTGGCACAAAGACGCTGTTAAAAGCAATCGAACAGCGCGATACGGTAGGGCGAGAAGGAGGGTGGTGCGAAGGACGTTCGTCCAGATAGGAAGAATCAAGAATCACGAGCGAATTTGAGGTAGAAGCAAGAAACCATGGTGTATGGAGGTTCCATCATCCCTCCCAATCAGCATACAACGTCTCTCCACGAGACCTGCCACTCATGAATCCACCAACAGCGCCTCTCTCCCAGAATTGGTGCGTCGTTCCGGGTCGGATGTCCTCCACGCACTTATGTGACTGGCAGCCTTTCCCTCTCCTCTTGATTAGCACCCGTTGGTGTTGGGGGCTTGGAGAGTATCATTGAATCATGTCATTGAATATGGGTCGGCGATGCAGGGTTGACGATAGGGTGCAGGAAGCTGGTTGGTGAATATGGTAGGCTGAGATGAGAGCGTATACACGTGTGAAGTTTGAAATTTGAATTCGAAGGACCAAGGCGAGAGAATGGCATGGATGAAGGTAAATCGCCCACCTCGAGTTTTTTCATTTCGCCCTGGCCGTACAAAGCGAAAACAGGAAAGACCTATCACTTCGCCTCCGGCGCCGGACCATCTTACGTGCCTGAAGCTGTCACTGGGGGAAAAAAAGTCGGAATAGATTTCCGTTTATTAGAGATGAAGAACACCATACTCAGAATCATCAACCCGAAAACAAGCATCCTGTCCAAGTCCATAGGCGGTGTATGATGCCAGCTATCCTTTGGATCATCTATAATAGCGCTCACTCATTAGTGCCCTCTTCAGACCGCCGAGTCTCATGCACGCACCCCGTAATAGAGGAACTATCCTATCCTAGCGAGAACTGCATGGGCCCAATGCCGAAGGAGGAACGGCGATTTGGACGAACGGCTCAGGCAAGAGATATTGAAACTGAGCACCTGCACCCTCTCTTCTGACGAGCCATGTACCCTATAGCGTTAATATCATTCGGGCTCTATCCGATACGGAATGCGAGTACACGGTGTCAGCGTTCATGAACGTGAATACGACGGTGGTGCGAGGAGGACGGGAAGAATCACGAGGTAGTAGGGTTTGCTTCAGCACAGAGAAACGCCCGAGTCATCACCCAATCCAAATCCAGCAGCCCTCTTCGCTCCTCCCACCTCCAGAATCAGGTGGTGGTGTGGGCATGAGAGGCGAAAGGGAAGAGACGCAACTGCCATTTTGGGAATCAAGCACGACTGGGTACGAAATCCACCCAGCAGAACGACACCAGTATCGTTCTGACGCTGCTAAAAACAGAGTGACGCCTCTGCTATGGACGAAGAACGAACATATCATCTCTCATTCCGAGCGACCAGCACAGACTGTGACCTATCTCAACTTGGAGTACCTGGCGTTATACAGCCTTCGGTCCAGGTTCGACTCCTGGTCAAAGATAATTTGAAAGATGTCAGGAAAAATCATCCTAGTATTTTTTCTCCTGTTTCTCCGAAGGATCAGCTTTGTCATCCATTTGTTTATGTAAATGAACAAGGCGAGAAAACCAATCGTCGGGGAAACCTGTACTATCCACCGTGTATACTAGTAAGACGGGCTGAATCCTGGCTTTTTTCACAGCGTAATCTACTTGTAGATTGACATCAACAAGGAGAACTCGGAAATGGCAGCAGGTAAATTAGACTGCCGTGGTCTTTCTGGTAGGTAAATCCAAAGTCAGTGTGAGGTTACCCTAGCGAATCCTCCCCCTGCGGTGCTGCGCGCACGAGAACCCAACCTGATAGCGAAAAAAAAAAGGGTTAGGATAGGTTCATCAACGAGAAACGACGACGACCCGTACTAACCAAAAGCAAGTATGTCTCCGCCCTCGAGCGGTCCAACACAACCACTCCGAATCCTCGACGTTGAACCAGGGACTCGGATTCATCGGCATCGGTAAACTAACACTTGCTCATTAGTCCTCTACTTGACCGGCCAAGTCGGATGTACGTATGCTCCATGCCACGATCCCGTCATTCTCAGGACAAGGCGGTTACACGACTCGCGACCCAGTACATTGAAGACAGTGCGGCGCCATCCCGATGAACGGCAGAACAGGGAACGTGTCGGAGGACGACGTCATTCTTCGTGAATTTGCAAACCGCGATGCCAGGGTCCCACCATCAAGGTATACACAATCTCTCCATGTGCGACATGCATTGCCCGGGACTGAACGTCCCTCTGGCTCTTGCTTGGTAGCAGTCTGCCTCTTGAGATTGGACTGCCATTAGCCAGCAGGACGGTAACGGACACAAGACTGTTGTTCGAAGGGAGCGTAGTATGGAATGACGTTCAGTTCGAGAAAAGGATCCTCATCGCTGGGGAATCGGGATAGTAGTACACATATTCATTCCGCTGCAGGGGAATAATACAATTTGCCTCTGTATGCCCTATAATAACTCTCCTCGTACTGATACCGGTTAAAAGTCAGAACAAGCTCACTGGAGAGATGGAGAGGGCTGACCTAAAGACGCGCGCGCGCGGAACCACCAGCCCGAAACATCGTCCCTGCACGGATCCAACATGCTGAAGGAGGAACAGCAACGCGATATAAACAAACGGCTTAGGCAAGGGATATTGAAAACGAACACCTGCTCCCTGTCCGATACGAAATGCGAGTATACGGTGTCAGTAGGGCGATCGGAGGGTGGTGCTGTAGTAATGTTCGCTTCAGCACAGAGAAGGCGTGTCGACTCCGGAGGTTCCACGCCAACGATATCCGAGTGCCCAATCCACTAGCCGCCTCCCACTACCATCCACCTAGCTCGCGCATTCATCGACGGCCTCTCCTCCAGTATCCAGGCTTTGCACAGGTCGTCTCGCAACTGACTGTACCCTTCCTCTTGGCACAAACACCAACGCATCTCTCCTTGGTATCGTAGTGCCGAAATCGTGGTCTGGTTGCGAGGCGAAAGGAAGGAAGAGACACGACTGCTATTTTTATCCTAGTGCCAAAATCATGTCGATGTGAAGGGAAGAGACGCGACTGCCATTTTGGGAACTCACCTCGTTCCTCCGCCTCAACACGATCGACGTCATTGCGCACTACCATCCTCAAAACACCACCCACACTCGATGTATGCTTTGATAGTGGGACCCGGCATTGCAGTTGGGCTATCTGGATCCGGTGCGCGGTCGGACAAATATACGGAACCTCCACTTGCTCTTGATAACACACGTCCAGACCTTGTCCGTAGCGTGATTTGCAGGCCATTGGAGAAGAGTGGGTCATTCCCATCTTCGTGCGGCTGCCGATCACGCACTAGTCGGTCACCATGCGACCGTCCAGATCAACCTCGGTAACGGGATCATGGCGTAGGGTGCTCCGAGTCGCGCGTGCACGCGACTCGGCAAAGGACTAATGAGCAAACGCTAGCTACTGTCAATGCCCAGTAGCGCTTGGATGACGAGATGGCTCCAATACCCAGAGGACAAGGAGCTTAGCAACATGATGGTTCACGGGAGGATGCATGGTTGGAAGGGAAAGCCAGTTCGCGCGGTTGAGTGATTCGAAATTGCTGATACACCCAATGCATATCGTCCAGTATCGCATGTCCGAAGCTTCATTCAACATTGGCGACCCGGGAACTCGTGCTCACCGTGCACAATGAGGAGATGCTCGCTATC